ACCATAATCTTTCTCCTTCTACTACTGAGGAGAATGTGGTCAAAGCAAGGATAATTAGGTTGTAGTGTATGAAATCTGGATATCTAAGATCTTCAAAGCCTGCACTCCCAGCTTTCTATTTGAAACTCAACAAGAATCCCGTAAGGTTAAGTGGGAATTTAAGCATTGAACACTTTATTTTGTAGAAATAACTAAGTTTTCTCTCAGATCACAAAGTATGTCAGGTCTTTAAATATGATTCCTTGGAGCTGAGTTCAAGATCTCAGTAAGTACCAATAACATCTATCCAAAGGCAGCTGCCTTTACCAACCAACTAGCTAAATGCTGTAGTTTCACGAAGGTAGAGCCAAAGTGAGCTTAAATTATTGTGGCATCAGCATTTGTACCAGACTCCTAAGTCCTAGTGAAATACTAAATCCAAGAAGTTTCCACATGCACCCTGTCAGTCACTAGCTAAGTGCTGTCTGTATGTCACCTCTAATTCTTATAAGAACTCTGAGTTAATTATCATTATAACCCTTTACAGATCAGAAAACAGAGTCTCAGGATAAGTTTCTCAAAGTCAAGGAGTTATTATGATTTCAGTTGTAATAAGGCTCTTTATAAGCAGAGAAAGCTGAAATTCTCTTTATCCTAACAACTTGTGACATGGACAGAAAGATATTTTAAAGTGATGTTTCTGTGGAAAAGACTGGTCCTCGAAGATGAAGAAGCTATTGATCTTGGTTCTAGTTCTAGCACTTTTAAGCATGTATTCATGGTAAATTAATGCTGACCAGGTATCAGGGTATGGCTATATCAAAACCAAGGATCTTTGTGTAGTTTTGCCTATGAACCCAAATCATAGTTTATCTGTGGATAAAAGTATTGGAACAATTTCTTTACAACAGGAATGAGCTGAATGAGGCAATACTTGTAGCATAGGGAAGATTCAAAAGCTGTAGAATATATGGAAAAGATTACTGGATTTGGACCTAAGAGACTTGGACTCTAGTAACAATTGAAGTACTAACTCTTTATGTTGCTTCAATAAGCCCCTTCCCTTCTGTGGGTTTCATTTTCCTCATTATTAAAATAAGACAATTTGAACCAGAGGGTCTTTAAGTCCTTTCAGCTCTAACTTGACATGACTTTATCAGCATTGCCCCTTTTAACACTTGCCCCTAAGTAATACCACCAGCAGTACACTGCCATCACTCATGCAGTTGCCACCACCTAAACCCACAGGTTTATTTATACTTTACAAAGGGGTGTGTGTGTGTGTGTGTGTGTGTGTGTGTGTGTGTGTGTGTGTGTGTGTGAGAGAGAGAGAGAGAGAGAGAGAGAGAGATTAATCATTATTAAATAGATATATTGTGAATAATCAACTTGGGGGTATTATCCCATCTTACATATTAGGGAACTGAGGCTCTAAAGAGTAATTTCATTTACCTGAAGATGCAAAGTTAGCAAGTGGCAGAGTCAGGAGGGTAGAACTTAAGTTCTGGGATGAAGGTGACTATTCTTTCTCTAGTACCAACTCTACAAATCTTCACCCTCTCAATCTTCCCCCTCTTTTCACCTCTCATCATTAAGTAACTAGCATCATTAAGTGGATATGTCTATCAAATGTACTTCTGTTTTCTCTGATGATAAGGTCAGCTTGTGGGCTTGCCATTTTGGGAGGAGGAGAAATTAAACAGAGAAAAATGTTTGCTAGTGGGGGCCCCTCTCACTCTCATGGGGACAACCTTTACAAGACACTTGGGAACTTAACTTGCTTTGCCTTATCTTACCTTATTATTCTTTTAAGCAGTAAAGTCCCAAATGAATTGCCCAAGTCAGTTTGATCCCCATCACCATGGTGTTCTTCAGAAACAAAGAGTAGCAACTAGAACTGGAAACTCTGCTATTTTCTGAATTAATTCAAATCAACTCTAAATAACCCTGCTTGACATCAGAAACACAGAGATTTGAATGTATTCTGTAGCCTAGACATTTATTTTGGTAATTAGAAGTGAATATTATCTTTATGATTAAAATGAATTAAAGCAATTAGATATTCAGAAACTAACATTTTAAAGTTTTAATTTGAACTTCCATGCATGAATTCTTATTGAAGTTTTAATCCTTTAGGAAAAAGACCTAATCAGATATCATTTTTGCAGTTGGGGCAGCATGTTATATGTGGAAAGAATCATGCTCTTTGAGCAGATCTGGGATGATATCATGTCTAAATTATTGGCTTTGTAGCCTGAAACAATTCACTTCAGTTTCCTCATTTATAAAATTAGAACCATAGTCTCTGCTACATAGATTATTACAAGATTTAATGGAAAATGTATGTGAAAGTACCTATCTTCATGTCTGATACAGAGTACACATTAAGTAAATGTGAGCTCACTTCCTCTTTATTTGAGTCTCCTCCAGGGCCTTTGGTTGGATCCTGTACTTTTCTGGGTTTAGAAAATTCCCCAAAAAGCATAGTGATGGGAAGTGGCTGGAAGGTGTAGAGCAGTAATTCTTAAAGTAAGAGAGTAGAAAATATGTTTTACTTGAAAAAAAGCATATTTCTTATTATAATAAACATTTGGAAAACAAAATTATTGTCCCTATAATAAAAACTGCTGAAAGTACAAATCTGCAAAATCTTCCTGGCTGTTAGGCACACAGTACTTCAAAAATCACAATGTGATAGAATAGGTTTTTCCATGAGTTTAGGGTGTGGCTCCTAAAAATGCAAGGCCACCATAACCTTGCAGTGAGTTTTTTATATTTCTCAAAGGGAAACTTGGTTTTAAAAGATTAAGAAATGTTTATGTAATGTCATTGTCATTGTAGATATCAGATTTCAGAAACTTTCCCCTTTTTGTTGTTTAAGTTTTATCATTTTTCAAAAAAAAGGAAATTGCTTACAAAACACTTACCTATTGTCTAAAAATTGAAGCTCTTATGATAATACTATCTGAAAGTAATATAATGGCCATTGGAAAAGATTATTGGGTTCTCTCAGAGATTTGAACTACATTTTCAAAAGGTCTTCTATAGTTAGATTTCCTTACTATGGTCTCATTTATTCGCGACCTTATGACATATAACTTTTGTCAGGTACCTACCAGCCTAGAGTCAAGTCTTTATACCACTAGGAAGTAAATTAGAGGCCATTTATTACAAGCCCTCACATTATTGTAAGAGAGATTATTGAGACCCATAGAAATAAAGCAACTTGTCCAAGGTCACACAATGAATCATTGGCAGAACTTGAAGAGCTATAACCCAGACTTCTTGACTCCTTGTATATTGATCTATCTACCTCATCATTCTATCTGTGGTGCATGTGAACCAATACTAGATGAAAACTTTCCTGCAAAATAGCCTGATCTGAAGTGTAAGTCAACTTTTTGGCCAAAAATTTTTAAAGCATAGATCCCCCTGCCAGCCATGTCATGATTGCTGAAAATCTTAAGAAGTGTGGTTCTGCAACAGTTAGCCCGATCCTCTTTGCTTGAACCATGACAAGGGGCTATAGACTGGCCTGCCTTTTAGGACCCCAACTCACCTCAAACACAATTAGCCATGAAGAGCCACCCACAATCATGCAGAAATGTGCTCATTCATTTGGTGTCTTACATTCCCCCACTTCTAGGATTTGAGTAGTCTGTACAACTTAACTCGAACTCAACTTTCCCTGCTGAGCCAACTAAGAAAGTGTGTTTGACCAAAGAAGGACTTATGTTCAACAGGAACCACTGAAAAAACAATTCCTGTGAATATATGACCTCATTCTTAGTAGAGTTTAGGTCATTTCCCACCTCAATACATCTGCATATCACTTACTTTCAGCAGTGAATATTTTTACTGTGTTGCAGTTGCTAAGGGATAAATTTCCCAATTAATAGAAATGGTACTGACTCCCCACATCCATTTGAACAACCAAAATAAAAATATACTAACTTTCAGAATCCTTTGAACTGAGACTACTTGCTGCAAAAGGCACAACGAAGTCTGTTATCATTCTATCTAGACTGATCCTGGTGCCAGCTGACTTGGCACAGTCCACCTTTAGGGACACCCCAGCTGGAAGTCTTTTTGATTCAATCATCTTAGCCCAGAACCAAAGAGATGCTAGCACTCACAGTAATAACAATAATCATAGAAGAGATAATTTTGTCATTTTGGGGCTCTGCTGTCCTGTAAGGTTGAACTTGGGTCAAAATAGCTTTCAAAAGATCAAGGAACCCTTCTGAGCAGACTCTGAAATAATTTTGGATATTTTCTCCTTTGCTAACCTAAAAACCAACAAAGTCATAAATGCATTAACAGTATTCTCTGGGAGATGCAGGCTGCTGTAAGGGAAAGAGAGCATGAGTTAGAAGACACAGGTCCTAGTTTCAGCTCCGCCAATAACTATCTAGGTAATCCTAAGTGTTTTCAATTCACTGGCTCTCAGTTTCCCCATCTGTATTGTGAAGAATTTGGATCTCTAAGAGCACTTTCAGTTCCAAAGTCTATGATCTGACGTTCTCTCTTCTCCTGGAAGAACTTATTATTTGTCTCAGTAACTCTGAAAGCTAATCTTATCAAAACAAAGATTTTATACTTAAAAATATTTCTTTATTATACAAATAGGTAAAAAATACACAGCAAAAAATTCAAATCCTCTCTTATTGGCTGAATACGTCAATTTGTCCCAATGAATCTCTGTGAACACATTCTTTTCTTACCACTTTGAGCTGTCTTTCCTGTTCCCACTCTACAAAGAACCCTCAGCAAAGAGTGAGCTGCATTATGGACTCCATGCTCATGATATAATGCTGAGGACTTATGGCATTAAAATTAACTTTGTACTCTGGTCAGATAGGGCAATCACTTTGCTTCTGCTGTAAGAAGTCTGAGATGAGAAACAGAGGACCATTTCAATTCAGACAGTGGTGCCACATCTGCCTCTGTCCTAATCTTTATGTTCCCATCAATCCTCCCACATGGAACCACCAATTCCCAGGTGCTAGGCTGTAACTTACCATGGAGATCAGCCGAGGTACGCACTCTTGTTTCTTTGCAGGAAGCTAGGGGTAAAAAAGCCTAACTCTGGGTGGCACGGATCCTGCTGGTAACTGAAAAATTTGTTGTTGAAAGAGGAAGTTGAGTGCATCTGGTGTCTCACCACAGAAACCTTATTTGCACAGACAGAAGGTAACTCCCTTGAGCAGATTACACTATTCAAGTTTTCTTTTTATATGTCATTGATGCAGAGAAACTCAAAGAGCAGGGAGTTAAAGGCTATGCACACTCAAACAGTGACTGCATACCAGCCTTCTTCACTGTTCCCCACCCTATCTCCTTTCATCACAACCCACCTGTCTATTTGTCTCACTAGCTTCCAGTGGGTTCCATGGCAAGATGGTATTTTCAGGCAAAATCTGAAAAAAGGCTTACCCAGGAACAGAAAAGCTGCAGCTCATTCTAGCCTGAGGGACAAAGGCTGAGGAAACCTGACAAATACAAGTCAATACTAAAAACAGACTATCTTTGCTTAAGCTGTTTCCTCCAGATGAAGTGTCTTTCTTCCAACCCCTTCATCTCAAGGCTCACAATTTAATGTGTAGTTTAGTTATTTTTGTACATTTACTATCCCCTTAGTATACTGCAAATTGCTTGAAGACAAAGACCATGTCTGACTTACCTCTATTCCCAACTAGTTCAGCACAAGGCACTTTCATGAATGCTTATTGAATGAATAAGAGAATGAATGAATGAATGTTCAAAGAACTCATGAGTAAATAAATAAACAGAATTGATTATAAGTTCTCTCTCCAGTGTACTAAGATTTGGACTTTATATACAATGTCTATGAGGCCTTCACAATTATGCAAATAAGGGATGATCATACACTTGGGGACCATAGTGTCAGCCAAGTCTGATGGTAGTTCTGATAGCAAGGCTAACAAAGCAGCCTTTGGGCATGTAAGGGAACCACATTTAGAACCTAGGGCTTGGAGCTGCCAAGAACCTTCTGGGTAATAACCACAGTAAAGGAGAAAAATAAATTACTGTGGGTTAGGTCAAAAGATTGCTTTTTGATTCACGGATTAGACTGATTAATGAAGTGGATGACAACATTCTTGTAAGAGAGCAACCTGCATCTGCAGCAAGCTCACCTTAAAAAAACAGAACCATTAGAAAACTCGGTAGAGTCATGCCCAACACTCAGAGATGTGGAATACAAATCACAAGGGCATCAAAAGATGAAAAGGAAAAGCTTTCAACTTCAGAAACCATGATCTTGGGCTGACTGATGAAAAGACCACGACTTATGAGGACTAGCAAAGGGAAAGGGTACTCATCCTGGCTGATGGATATCAAATGAAACAAGCCTGACCTTTCAGTCCCCTTCCTAATTCTCATTTCATGTAATTATCCAGCTCCAATCTGTTCTTAATTTAGTTTTCTGACTTGGCATCCCTAGTGAAAAGAGTATACACTAGCAAGCCAACACACATCTCAGTCCATTTGGCAGTTCTGTTTCTCACCATAAATTATTAAATTAGCTTTCTGGTACAAATATGTCCCCTGTGAGTTTGGACAATATGAGCTAGTTTTCCCAGTGTATGATCCTTCTCTGAGCAAAGAAAGCTCCAGACCTGTTGAGCTTTAAAGACAAACCCTTGTATATAGAGAGAAAAGGAACCTTTCTGACAATTACCCACATCCCACCTTCATTTCACAGACAACGCCTTAACATTGCTAAATGAAAGACTGCCAGCTTACCTCATTTCTCTCTTGCGTGTGAGTATTCTCTCCTGTCATTGGCCCTGAAAAGGGAAGCAAAAGAATGTCAGAAGTCAGTGCTCCAAATCAGGCAAAGAAAAATTTCAACTTAGGTAAACTTTGAGTATTAATTAGAAGGAGCAAAGCTGTGGACAAGTCAAAACAGCTGATAATTTAACAGTCATCTGCATTTAACATTTAGAAGAATCTTATAATTACTGGTTATGACTGATGGTCTAGGAATCATCATCACCTCAAATAAAGTAATAAATACTCCAGTTGTAGCTTCTGTAAAGTAGTGCAGCTGTCCCATTTTGTCCCTAATTCTGATTTCTAGCATTCTTCATATGTGTCTCCTCAAAGTTTACTTTAATTGGTAGATAGATCATATCTTCCCTAGGCTGGGGAAAGTTTATGATTTCGTGATTCAAAGGTTTTTAGGTCTCTCTAGCAGCAGCAGTAGATGAGGAGTGATAAGTATTCTTGAGGACACTATTCATTATGATACACATATTCTGTTTTCTAGGAAGACCCATGAGTCCTATCTGATCTTAGTATCAGGAAAAACAAAACTAGATTTTTCCTAAGCAACTGATTTGATTTGATTCTTATGGAAATTGATTGTATAACTGGTCATGTGTCTCTTTTTACATAGTCTGTTGACAAGCCTGGAACCAATTTAGAGTCTGTTGGTAGTAAGTGTAGTGATCTTTTAATGCTGTGCTTTTTTGGATTAGCCTCTTTCATGGCTCAATTTTTATTGTCCTTGCCCATTTTTGTTTATTATTTTATATTCACTTTTAATTGATACTATCTTGCTATAGTATTTATCTTTTAAAACCACTTTCAATCCTTTCTGGAGTAGTAGTGGAATCAAAAAATAAAAAATAAAGGACAGACTAAACCGTAACCTCAATCTTTTTTGTATTAGAAATAGTGAACATGAACTGCTTTAGATAAATTGTCTTCAAGAGTTTCCCATGTCTCACTATAAATCCACAGAATATTACTGTGCATTTTGTGGAATTAATCATTCAACAAATGCTTAATGATTTATAACAATGAGCAATTTCTTCAATGCTCAGTGAGAGAAGAGTGGGACTCAGAAATATAAAATATGTTCCCTATTGTCCAAGAGTCTACAGTTTAAGTGACAAGTTGATCAGCCATAAAGGACTTAGAAAGCATGGCATAGTATATGATTTACTATTAAATTATGTGGAAGTTAATAAGATGAATTCACCATGGGCTGAACCTGCTTGGGAAAGTTTGCTGATTCTTGCTCAATAGGCAAGTTTTGACTTAAGCAGTCCTACCAAAAATATACAAGGTTTTTGCATTTTAAATTGTCTAAAGAATAGCTTTTTAAAATATTTTAGATATAAACCCATTTTAAGGCTTAAAAAATATAATAAAATTAACAGTTCAAACCTATGATTGCATAGATAATATTGCTTACAGTGAGACTAGAGTAAGTAGCAAAGTTTTAAAAACTGTGATTATTTAAAAACCTACAAACATACATTCACTAGGGATGCCAAGTCATGCCAAGAGGCCAAAACAAAAGTATAGAAGATAAGCAAGCATAGCAAAAATTGTGGAGGAAAATTTGAGTGTCTGAAGTTTGGCAAATTTAAAGAGATGGGAGAAGGCAAGGGATTCCAGGAGACAGAAGGAATATTGCCAAGGACATAAATGGAGAACATACATAAATTGTTTGTATGAAAGTGAAGATGCAATTTTGTCTGAAGCATAAGGCATATTAGGAAACAATGGGAAAGAAGCTTGGAGGGTAGAACCATACAAAGAAGGTCTTAGAGTGCATAAGCTATGGAATGCAAGAAGTCATTGAAGAGTTTTATCTTATTTTATTTTTTATTGAAATACATTGATTACACATATTTGTGGCACACATAGTTATATTTCAATACATGTATACAATGCGTGATGATCAAATTGGGATAATTAGCATATTCATCATTTCAAACTTAATTATTTATTTGTAATGAGGACATTAGATATCCTCTTTTCTAGTAATTTGATAATATGAAGTAGATTACTGTTAATTATAGATGCGTAGCTCTACTGTACAGTACTAGAATTTATTTTTTTGTATCTAGCTGTTTTGTGCCCATGAATCAACCTATCACTATCCCTCCTCCCCCTTCTCCTTTTCTGCCTCTCCCACAGTTCTTCCCTCTTTCAATGAAGGATTTTAAACAGAGCTGAAGGAGGGAAACAAAATCTATTATTTATTGAGTACTTTCTATGTACTGTCACCATTCTAGGCAATTTACACACATTATTGATATAGGAGGTGCTCAGTTTCCTTGGGCTTGGGTTTCAAGGCACACCTCTGAATTTCCAGCCACTCCCCAAGGTCTCAGACTCCCTCCTCTAGTCTCTCCCCTAGAGGAATGTTACTGTTGCAGGTGGCCCTAATTTCAACACCAACATGGGGAAAATGAGAACACAAGGGGCTGGCTTATGCAAATCCAGTGGCTGGACATGCTCAGTAGAGAAGTATTATATAACACTGATAGCTGAATGACCTTCTACTAGAGGTACTAGAGAGCACAGAACATTCTTGAATATGCCTGGTGCATATGACAGAACTTGACCAATGAACATGCTCCAGGAAGAGTCCAACTGAGCATGTGCAAGACTAACGTTACATAATTGGAAACCACCCTCTTAATTTAATATTCATTAGGTAGCAAAACTTAAAAAGCGGAATCCCATGAGAAAATGGGGCTGTTGCTCACTTTCCTGGAGGCAACCTGCACTTCGCTGGCTGAGGTGTGTATACTTCACTTTGTATAAAACTTACTTTCAGCAAGCAGCTGCTCACTCTCTTGAGCCAGCCTGCATTCTGTACTGAAATTTAGGTGTGTATTTCTTGCTTTTGTATTAAACTTGAAGTGGGCCCTGCTCAGTCTCTTGAGCTATGCCACACTCTGTGGAACTTGTATTTCTTATCTGTTATATTAAACATGTTTTCACTTTCTAATGTGACTCTGCCCTTGAATTCTTTCCTGTGGTGGAGTCAGGCCCCCCTGGATCCTACCTCTGATATCATTATCTCATTTAATCTTTCAAACAATCCATGGAATAGTAGCTAATATTATCTCCCATCTTACCCATTAGTGAATTAAAGCACAGAGAGGTTAATTACTTTCCCAATAATCATGCAACTAGTGAGTGGGAGAAGCAAGATTCAGACCCAAGTCTTTCTTGCATTAAAGCCCACTCTTTCTACCACTCCCTAAAAAGTCAATAAAATAAGAGTGCACAGAAAAGATTGCAGAAGAAAGCAAAACAGAAGATGGAGATCCTTTTTGGAGGACATACCAGTAATTCAAATTTAAGGTAATAAGAGCATGGAATAGGGCAAAGACAGTAAGAATGAAGATAAAG